ACTATAATTCGTGTAAACACTCTCAATAGTGCATCTCTTCATGAGGTTATGTACTCTACATATCCTGTCTTTATGTAAGGAAAAATATAGAAATGTCCTTGATTTTTTTTTCTACTGAGAGAAACTCTTATAACTGTGCCAACAAATCTTCTGCAGCAAATAACAGCGCGAGCTGGAATTTTTAAAAATAGAAATATTGAATAAGTGGTCAACAGAAACCTGATTATGGAAACCACTGTTTAGTTCTGCATAGACTAAACAGCCGGAGAGCCTTCTAAAACTAAATTCTCTGGAAACAAGTGGATTGAAAGTAAAGATGACTGAAAGATTAAAAATACTTTAAATCAATGAAGCTTGCTAAAGATGTGGCTCTAGAGTGAGAGACATAGATCTAATGCAGTGGGGGCCAGAAATATTTCAGTTTGAGGTAGTTAGAGTGTCTGAGGTAGATGAAGCTGGTGATGGGGTGCATGGGGATGAACTGGACTTTTCTGATGATTCTTCTGTTTTTTCTTCACTTCCTGTTGGGGTAGCAGGGGAAATGGGGAGCAGCCCCTCTTTCTCTCTTTTCTTCTGCTTCATTCTACGGTTCTGGAACCAGATCTTCACCTGTGTTTCATTCAGCTGCAGTGAAGCAGCTATCTCCACCCTCCTTGCCCTCGTCAAGTACTTGTTGAAGTGGAATTCTTTCTCCAGTTCTGTGAGCTGCTTGGTGGTAAAATTGGTCCGAACGGTGTTGGGCTGACCTACGTATCCGTACTCTCCAGCTTTCCCTGCAAAAGTACAGTCAGCGTTCAATGAGTGAGGCACAGGCGACATAATCACAGCATGTACACACAGGTAAAACGATATGAAACAAGAACTTCTTACAACGAGAGGAATCCGGGGACAGTGAGTGATGGAGTGTGAGGTGCTAACATAAAGTCGGCCACTAGTGTGTATCAAAGGCAACTTGATAAGTTGTTTACGAATTACAAGAAATATTACCACAGAAAACCCCCGCTTGGAACTTCCATTCGATCAGCTGGAGGACCCTGTCCATCCTTAGTGGTCTCAGACCTCCTTACCTGTAAACAACAAGGCACCTGCCCGCTGTAGGTAAGAAGGGTTTGGTCTCGTTTTATTAAAGAAAGTGGAAGAGGAAAGAAACAGCCCCCTGCTCTGAAATCGCGACTAACCTGTTTTAGGCGGGTTTCTTTTAACTTTCATCCAGTCAAAGGTTTGTGCTGGAGGCGAGGTCTCTGCAGAAGGAGAGCGACAAGCTTCTTGGTGGCTGGCATGGAGAGGGGATAAGGAATTGCTATAACTCGCTAGAGGCAGGTTCTGCTGCTCCTGTCCGTATGAGGGGTGCATGTACTGAGCGGGACCCACCGGGGCCCCAGCATAACCTTGGTGAGGGTGGGGATGCTGGACCATGGCAGATGAGAGGTTTCCAGAGTACACGGCGGGGGCGCATTGGGGATACCCTCCACTGACATCTGCTTCCTGATTTAGTGCGTAGGGACTGTAACCCGCGCTGAAGTTCTGGGTGCCATATCCCGTGCCACAGCTAGAGTAGGACATGCCCAGATTGTTGTGAGGCTGGTAGGCACCGGTCTGATGGTGGTGGTGGTGGTGGGGACTTATCTGGACCCCCCTGCCAACCATAAAGCGATCCTCCCCGTTGCAGTGAGTGGCAGTGACCGCACAGGACTGGAAAGTTGTAATCCCATGCTCTGGGGGGTAGGTGCGGGAAGAGCATGCCCCGGGCTCGCCGCCGAGGATGGGGTACTCGAGGAAGGAACTCATCCTCGCCGTGTCCATTTATCACCGAGTGGCCGGGTCTTCAGAGCCCTGGGTGACCGTGCCAACTTTCCCACTTCCTCCATGGGGCCGGGAGGAAAATGATATGAATGTACAGTGAGCTGGGGGCACGTGAGGGCGGCAGCCAATGGCTGAGCCTCCTGCTGCAAGGGCCCTGCTCCGGCTGGTGATGGATCACCCTTTCAGTGGCATTTAAATTCCGAGCGCTCCTCCATCAAGGTGACGCGAAGCCGCCACCAC